TCAAAACCTCTAGTGGTCACGATGTCCATTCCGAGAATAAGTTCATCTTCGATGTCTGCTACTAACACTCGATGATTAAAACAGGTGCTTCCGATAACAAAATTAAGATCTACCTCTCCATGGATGAGAGCGCAGCTTCCTGTAGCTGTACGTAGTCGCCATTGTGTTGTTTTAATCCTTTTTGATGTTTTAAGGATATCCGGCCTGATGATCGTTTTGGTCGCACCCGTATCCAACAGCATGGTCCGTAACTCTCCATCCACGAAACTAGCCACAAAAATGCTGTTGAACTTGTGTTGTAGCGATGCGACTTGAACAGTTTTCGTTGGAACCTGTTGGGTACTGCTCCATATGTGTCCCTTTGATTCGACACTTGGCGAAACCGAGTCCACGTCTTTTTCTTGACAGTGACTTCTTACGTGTCCTGCCTGGCCGCAATTCCAGCAACAAGTCGGTCCTTTCTTGCCCATGTACTCCTCCATGACTTTCCGTACAATGCTTTCCACGGATTTGTCGGAACATTGGTTGACCGCCCGTACTCTCACTAGAGACCGAGAACTGTTTCGCGGCCTCAAATTCTAGGGCACGTGCTAAAGCATCCACCAAGCGCGTTGGGTGGGCTAGAAGAAGCACTTGCCTTGTCTCGCTGTCACGTAAGCCGTCGGAGAATGCCTGTACTGCCAACCGCTCCATAACATTCTCGGGCGTAGCAGGGTACGCAAGTTGAACGAGGCGGGCTACGTCGGCTTCAAACTCCTGCAGAGACTCATTTAACTTTTGAATGCGATTTTTTAGCTGGTAATGATAGACATGTTCCAAATGAGCTTGGCCGTACCTCATTTCTAAATGTCGTACCAATTGCTGATAATCTCCCTGTTCCGATGGTGACAGTCAAAGCGGTAGCTTTTTCAGCGATTGTCCAGCCGTTTGCTCTCGCAGCGGCTTCAAATTGGCAAAAGTAGTTGGCCCAAGCGGGTTTTCCGTCAAACTGTGGAGGTTTCATAACTGATTTTGAAGTATACCTATTTTCGACTAGTTTCGGTCCCTCCGATGTTTCTTGACATTTTGGTGAATTTGACTTCGCTATTTCTTCTTTTAAAATTTCGATTTTTCTATTTACATCTTCCTCAATCTCTGTTATTTTATCTTGTGTATCTATTATCTTCTTTTCTAATTCCCTGGAATTTTCTGTTATCTTTTCTTCTAAATTAAGTATTTTATTATTAAAGCTGGCCTGTATGTCTTTAGAATTTTCTGCGATCTTATCTTCTAAAATATTAATTAAATCCTGGGAATTTTCCATAATTTTATCTTTCAAACTGTCTTCTAATTTTTGAGAATTCTCTGTAATGTTATTGTTCAAACTGTCTTCCAAGTTAATTATCTTACTGTTCAAATTGTCGTTTAAATTTTCTTGCAAATTTTTCAATGACGAGTCAAGATCACCTTCTAACTCAAAACAAAATGTGTCAGGATCCTCACCTTCCTCGATCAGAACATCTCTTAGTCTTGCTTGTAAAATGCTTTTTTTCCATCTGTCTCACATTCTCTCTCTTCCAGTATGCATTTTAATTCCGACACTTTCAAGTCCTTCAACAATTTTTTCGAAGCCATTTTCAGTCTTTTTATTTTTCTAGTCACACACACGCCACACTTGACACCAGTTGTTACGTTTTTTCGTCGGTTCCGTGTGGATAGAAAGTCACAATTTATTTAAACACTATTTATTTAACACTAATTAACAAAAACAATAACGATAAAAGACTTATAGAACTATTTACAAACGATTTATAACTAAGAATTTATTTTGAATTTTAGCGCGTCAACTGTATATTTATAACTGCCCTCTCTAGGCCACAGCCGCCGGCTTTTATACCTACAGTTAAAGCTTACTAGAATAGTCCATAGATCGTTAGGTGCATAGAGAAGGTTTTCGAATGTTCTCGTATGTACTACTCCATTCCAGTGGGACTCGATCCTTCTCGAATCTTCGAATGAAGCATTGCGGTGTCTATGCGATGTTAAGGTCATCCGAGGGCGGGCCATATTGTTAGGTTAGGTCGAGTCCACAACGGTCCGCAACAATATTCTTTCGGTGACGATTGGCAAGTAGCAAGCGGCGAGCGATTCGCTTGATCCTTGATCACTTGATTTAGTTTATTTCGAAGCATTGTCGATGTAGGTCGTAAAATTTTGTCCCTCAGATACGCAACGGATAAATATATATATACGGCGTCGTATAAATTTGCTACCTGCAATGTATGTAGAAAATTCGCTCGTCATTTTATCGAGTATGTCACATTAAAATCGGATTTCAATTTATTTCGTTCTAGGATAGCTTGCGTTCGTCGCTCGTAACTCGTCACTTGCATCGCTCGTTCATAATCGAGCGATGTCGATTATTTCAATAATCGAGTACTCGAGCGAATTTTCGCTCGAATTATCCTGTCACTAGTTCTGACAGTTGTATTTAATTCTATAATAATAAAATTATATAAGAGTTTCTTGCATTGAACTGCTATATAGAAATTAATTCCACATTGCAAAACAACCTGCTCTTACTACCGTTTTTTTTTCGGAATCCGGCTTTAATTTGCATTCTGACGCCTCGTGGACTTGGCAAGTACGCCAATATTTGCGTACTTGGCAAGTATACTATATTTGTAAACAACATTTTTTTGCAACAAGCTTGGCGCTCACGCGGCGTGACGACTGACAGATAATTGCACAAATAAACTGCTCACGCGACATGGCAAGTATATCCCAATAACAAATGTTTGTACAAGTACATATGAGTCGTGAGTCGTGAGAATCCGCCTTTAGATAAATAGTAAAGAAGGCTAACAAAAAAGTTTATTGAGTGCCTTACATCCACATAACCAGTTTCACTTAAACATTTTCAATAAAATGACGAATACACGATTTTCATTTAGTATTAATTATATTCAAAATATCCTTTGGAGGTCCTTTTTCAACAGTTGTTTTAAAGAAGGCGTCCATTCTTCTCAAAGAGACCTGGTTTTAAATTAAAGAGAAGTATAAAAAAGATTCAAAGTCTATATTAAGTTAAACAGTGACACGTGTTTCGCTCACACGAGCATCATCAGACAAATACAATAAAAGTCAATCCACACACACGATCATATTTTACATATTAAAACAAGACTGAAGGATGATTGCAAAATTATTTCTATTTTACAGCCGCACTATCAGAATCGACCGTCGCCGTCGGGACGCGCGAGGATATTTTTTATTTTATACCGCGAACGAGACGACCCAACGACTAAAACAGCGAACGAGAACTTGGAAGACTCCATCCGTAACCTGGAATGGAAATCCTCTGCAACGGTCTAAGGGTACAAACATAGTGGGGCATCTTGATGCGATGCTCGCCACGATGCATATCCTACGCGCACTTACGCGCCGTTTTAAAACAGTCCTTAAAACGTGCCGAGAAAAATGAAGGATTTTTCTTGATATAAGTAAAACAATCTTCGCGGAATTTTTAACAGGACACTGACTCCTCAACGAACACCTCAGTAGACTGAAGCACAGACTGAAGCTAAAAAAAAACGGCGAATGCAGATTCTGTGAGGAGACACCGGAACACCTCATCACTGAGGTGTGCCGAGACGACAACCATTCGTGCCATAAACTTTCGACGACTGATATCGGAAATGGAGAACTACCCTATATAAAATCGTCTCAGATACTGGCTTTTGTCAGGTACCTGGGACTGTATGATGAGTTATATAATAACTCAAGAAAGGGGGACACAATAGATCTGCAAGGTCGCGGTGATTATAACCTTCCATTATAGAGAAAGTAATAAATTATATAAATAAAAATAGTAATATAAATTTATTATCTTTCTCTATGCCTCCTACTCGTTCTATCAAAACGCCCGTCATTTTGGACGGTCCAATTTACAGTAACCGAACAGTATGCCGATTAGATTTGCCGTGGATTTGCCCGATTTTACATGATATTAATATTTCATTAGTGCAAAACAGTGCACCAATAAAGCGAACAATTTGAACGCCAAAGTATAGAAATGAGTACCTACAACTCAATATGGTACCTACCCAGATAGCACATTTACGTTCTTTTCATATGCGTAGCAAGTGACTTGAAGAACAACAATGTTCTATTCACATTCCTTTTTTTCATTGGGAACATATATGACACATGAATAGCAGAGATTACGTTCCACCCATAGGTTCCACCCTATTCAAGTGATATAGAAGTGCGTTTCACATTCCAAGATATATTGTATGAACGTGAATTATATGTTCGTAAAAGAATGTATTTAAAAATAATATTCCAATTATATGATATTCATGTTTTTAATATTCTATATTTATGCTTTTCATATGTTTTTCATATTTTTTTTGTTATCTACAGAGGCAAAATAAAACACTAATTTACCACAATACACCAAAACACTTTACCTTTGCACAGGACGCGCGTTTCGCTAACCATGTTAGCATCATCAGCAGATGGTCAAAATTTAAGTTTTAATCATCTGCTGATGACGCTAAGATGATTAACCAAACAAGCGTCCAGTTCAAAAGTAAAGTGTTTTGGTATATTGTGGTAAATTAGTGTTTTAATTTGCTGTTGTAACACCAAAGATTCCAACCCTCAACTCTGTATCTACTGGGTGTCCTGTATAAGGATGCTCTGTATCAATATCCTATAAACTATAGATATAGATACAATTTTTTTCATATTTAGCAATTTTTATATCTCTTAAAATCTATAGGATACCTATACAGTACATTCATATCTGGAACACACTACAAACAATTTGCTGAAATTAAATAATTTGGTGTGTAATAATCAAAAATTAACTAATAAATAGAACGGTTAAAAATAATAGGTAAGAATAAAGACGAACTTGAGTAATATATGTTTATTAATTAAAAATATTTTAATATAACGATATACATCGATATTATCTTCTATGTCTATGTTTCTATATTCTCTTGTTACCCTTCTGAAATAATATCAGCAGAATTATACTGTTCAAATAAATTTGCACAACTTACCTTTGTATTTTTTAATCTTTCTTTTGTTTTTACAAGCCATATTTTAATTGTATTGATAATTTCGGTTTCTTTTGACTCTTGAAATTGACCTTTCATGGAGTCTAAAATAGATGTTATTACAGTCTTTGCAACACCAAATATCTTTAAGTTCAGATACCTAAAATTGCTTTTGGCCACTAACAATGATTTCAAACTTCTCTTCTGTTTGGCCCCATCCCAAGAATATTTTTGTGCAATTTCATTGCCAAGAACCTTATACAGCACTTTCCTTGTACTTTGTGCTACTCCTGAACCACCAAGTCTAGATAATTCTCGAACCTAATAATTCTAAAAAATAACTTTCTCTTAAAAAATAAAAAATTACACAATAAATGATTATAGAAGAGCCTACATAAATACTATATTGTAGGAAATTTCAGCACTGGAACTACACTTATTAGAACAGAAATCTTCAATGATACTACCAGAGATACTACTACTTTGATGATGTACAGAGGATAATAAAGAATCACTTTGGTCTGAATCCAGTTTAATGTACAATATTGAAGTCATATTTGCGTAACATTGACTTAATAATATCTTGGCTCCTTTTTTTTGGTTGAATTTTAAAATATTTTTTAGTATAACCTATTTTTTTTCGAGGTCTCATGGTTTTAGAACATTAAATTAACTCCCCTTAAAATAGATACTGAAAACACAAACATAACAAGAACTATTTTACCGATTCTATCCTTAAAATAATTATTTGCATCACTTACCTTTACGTTATCTCCAGTTATCTCAGTGTTTTAATTATTAAAATAGTTTGGATGAAGCACGTTTACGCATACGTTTACGTTCATAGTTCACTTTTCATTTGCTGTTGTTTGTTACGCGTCGATTACACGGAGCGAGTTTACACGCCGCTAGTGCGCTATTTTACTATCCGCTAGTAAACTAGCTCTGTGTAATCGAGGCAGCGTGTAAACTAGCCGGATAGTTTACTCGCTAAAATGCGGGCTAGTAAAGTTGAAGACCGGTCAACTTTACTAGCTACTGGCTGGCTTATTTACTATCCGGATAGTAAAAAAGTAGCGTGTAATTATATCAGATAGTAAACTATCCATAAAAAAATCAGAAAGTTGGTGACCAGTATTAAATTTGTGATGAAGCGTATTTATTTTCATTTCGAAAATGCCTAAAATGTCTAAAGAAATACTTCGTGGATGTGCTTCGGTTCTTGGGGCTATATTTCAGGAAGAATTAAAAAACTTTCCAAAAAAGAAAAAAGAAATGGATAAGAAATTAAAATATATTTCCAAAAACTTTGTAATATTATTTGCGTTCCACTTCATCTCGATAAACACAACAACACAACAGGTTCGCAAGCTTGGGACGGCTTGTTACTAGCCACGTGCAATCATGGTAGCTTTTTTACACGCCGTGTTCGGACTAGCGAGATAGCATACAAGCGCACTAGCGGCGTGTAAACTCGCTCCGTGTAATCGACGCTTTAGGTTATGTTATGGATGTAGGATTCGAATCGATTTCAATCGAAGATCGATCTTTTTATCCAAAAAATCGATTAAAATCTATCGAGTTTTATCAAACTATCTATTGGTATAATCGATCTTTTTATTTCATATTGGAAGATCGTTTTTATTTATAAAGTTTTACAGGTTTATTTATTTGTTAGAATAAGAAACACTGTATTTTTGCTTGAATATTTGTTTACAGTGCATCTATATACACTAATATATAAAATCCCTAATTATTTAATACACAAAAATTTAATAGTACGAAAATATACAAATATAATGTATTGTATTCATTTTTTCATTTCGAAATCATTTTTATTCTCCTTTATTTTTATTCAGATATTGATATGTTTAGAACGTGAATAGCAGATACTTAAAATTTATTGTAAACCATAATTTAAGAAGATATTCTAAGGTAATATACCTTTAAATCACATTCATAGTAGAATGTACTATTCATATGCCATACTTATTAAAAAAAGAATATACTTATAAGAACTTAGGAGGAATATTCTTAGAATGTAAATGTTCCTTTTGTGCTATCTGGGCTACTTTCGAACATGCGTCGGTCAAGTAGAGCTGTAGCATCGTAGACACTGAAATATTCAACAAAGTATATAACTGAAAAATTAATTCAACTGTAACTTTAAAATATTTTACTAAGTTACCTACTTAAATTGTTTTTGCGGTTAGGTTTCCCGGTCGCTTTTCCAACGACTTGTGCACAGGGGGTCCCATTTTAGTTGAAATCATAAAGGTGCGTATTCATTATCCGCACGAACGAACGAACGAACGAATGAAAGTGCGGTATATTTAGACGGGGACCGAACGCATGCGGCCGTTCGTTCGTTCGTTCGCTCGACCATCCGTTTCGAGTCGGTACATCAAAGGCGTTCGCCAACAAATGCCTCCGGTCTTCTCGTGCGGTCCTATGGTGCGGTCCCCGTCCATACCACTAGCGTACATTCGTTCGTTCGTTCGTGCGGATAATGAATACGCACCTTAAGGTATCTCCATTATTCGTGAAGATAGAAGGGTGCGGTTTGCACAAACCTGTGGCACTTTTTGGTCAAACGGAAGATGCTGTCAACAAAATTTTCATAGCCCTCTTCGTTTCTGAGCTACAGCGTCTTTTCGAAAATTTTGCAATTTGGGACAGCCCCTGTATCGCCGTTACTAGGGATGAAAACTGATTCTTGTAGAACTTTTTACGTAGAATACAGTGGCATAGTCTGTTTTATACTACGTTAAATAGTGAAAATTAATATAGAGTGTTAGATCACATACTTTATAAATACACAGGGTGTTCCATTTAAGAAAACATAACTTCAGTTCATATGTTTAAAAATATTATTTTCGTAGAATAACAGCCGCACCCTTCTATCTGCACGAATAACGGAGATACCGTATGATTTCAACCAAAATGGGACACCCTGTACTCTGTGACATACAGGGTCCGGTGGGAGTGCGGCGTAGCTCCTATAATAAATAACTTAGAACTTCTGTATAGATGTCCGACGTACTGTCTATACTCTGTATACCAATTACAAATGTTTGTCAAGTACTTGTACAAGAGTCGTGAGAATTCACCTTTAAATTAGAAATGACGATCGACGATATCCCAATTATGCCAATTGGATGCGGTTTTTTTTGATCATACGTTATTACCAGAGACAAGTTATCTGGTATTACCTTGTTCATTAAGAAAGGTATGTATTAAGCTATATACTCACTATGCGCTAGCCGCATTCGGTTCAAAAACTGGCCGAAATGGTTCTTCAATAATATTGCAAACATTGCCCAAATATTACCATTAATTACTGATTCCGTGAAGAATATCACAGAGAAAGGAAGATATAACTTCAATGGGGCTTAATAAAAATAATAAATAAACTGTTATAAAGATTTCTTTATTTTTTTATACAACTAAATCACATTCTTTTTTAAAGCTAGACAAATTAATATATTTACACCTAGTATATAAGAATATTTATACAGATTATTATTATGAAGCCATAATATTTATGTAGGTATACATATATTTCTCTTTACTACATACAGAATACAGATCTACTTATAAGAAACTAAAATATTAACAAATGCATATAATATGTATGTATAAAGTACAATTTATTATTTTTATCTCTATTTAATATGCAAAAGAAGCAAGAACAAAGGTATTTAAAATGTGTATTTCCTTTAATAAAAATATATGAAAGGAAAAATGTTTCGATTTAATCTTTTTTTGTACATCAGGTACAATATTATTAAATAGTACGTTGCAAAACTAATTTTATTACTATGGTTTAGTGAAATCAAATTGTATTTTTGGTGGGAAAGCTTTGAGGTAGAGTGGGCGCATTAAGAAGGATCCAGGAGCGTCATCAGTAAAGTGACTGCATAACGACCACCTCTTGCTTGCGATGTGACGGTTCGATGATCAATGACCGTGAGCTTAGATATTTTTATTTTTTATTTTAAAGCGGTTAAATAATATTTCGAATTATTTCGCGCGGCATTGTCTAACTACAAGGAGGCGTTCACCGGTAAAATATTGATGGTTCCTTCGTAAAACGTGCCTACTCTAGTTTTGACTTATTTCGTTCTTTGTGTTTTTTTTGGGGCGCTGAATCCGAATATGAAGTTTGCTAGCGAAAGAAAATTCAAAAAGACGTAAAAATATTGTAATTTTTGCGTTTTTTTGAGTAAATGCATTTTTTTCAAAAATAATACTTGTATATACAAATTAAAAGTACACAAAACCTCGTACAAATTCAGTTCTTGATGTTTTTTTCCTCACACAATGATGTCATCTTAAGTCCAAAAAATACATTATCTGTCTATTTTACGATAGCAATTCGTTGCAAAAGTGAGGTTGTATTGTAATTATAATTCTATCTGAACAGAGTTGTTCATTATTGCAATAGTTTATGAATTATCATTATGTGCTCTATACTTTTCATACATGATCGATAAAAAACGGCGTCAGTGATTATATCGTCCTATTGCTGCCAAAAGTCACTAACTAACATTTCTCCGAACAACCAAATTCAATCACTAACTATGTTTTGAATCGGAGAATCGATTGCAAAAGTCATTAACTACGATTTCTGGCTATTTATGTTTTATTTTAATACCGAATAGTTACTAACTATAACATCTTTATGCAATGCAATTCATCTTTAGACGCATTTTTCTCGGAAGTAATAAAAAGTAAGTTAGTGACTTTTGGCAGCAATGGGACGATATGGAAAATGTCATCGATCGTCATTTCCAAGCCAACTGCACGCCGTATTTTTTTTTGATATCATACGATACATATCTCTTCCTTAGAATATCTCTTCTAACAAGTGACACTGGATGCTTTTATCTGCAACTCTACCTACTTATATTTACGCATAATTTAAGTATGTTTTGGAGTAGAAAAAGTAGGTATTTGCGGAGACAATAAAAAAACGCTAATTTTCCACTGGCTGTTTGTAGTGCTCGAACAGTTCTTCAGAGAAAAAAAATTAAACAATGAAAATGATAGCAAATTATATATGTATGTTCTTTAATTTTGAAGAGAAATATTAATTACGAAAAGCTGGTAGTTTAGAGTTATAAACAAAAAATAGCAAAAAAGAATTTTTTCTACTTTTTAGCAATTTTTCCATGTTACGTCACGAAATTTTTTTGGCAAACCTCAGATTCGAATTCAGCACCCCATAAAACATAATACATAGAAGAAATAAGAACTACCTAAAAATTTTCCCCTAAAAGGAATTTTTGAGTAGGTACAATAATTATTGGAAAATTGATGACAAATCTTATAAAAAGTATTTAATACAAGGTACGAAAAAACACCACTTTATTAATCATTTAATATAAAATTCTTCTGTTTATTGATACTCATTCAAAAAGTGAGCATTATTTAATATTTTTTAGATTCAAAATTGAATATTATTAGTTTTCAAAAGTGTTAATCTGTCCATTATCTTAAGATTCTTAAATTTGTATGGAATTAAAATTTTTTTAATTTTCTAATACACAGGGAAACAATACCTATTATATTCACAAACCCTATTCCCCCTATAATGCAAATTCTGCCTTCAGAATACGTTCGGAATGGTCTCCTCGCATATAGCTATTATTACATGTATCACTTTTATCTGTTGCAGTAGAATATATAATATGTAATAATAAAAATTTCAGACTATTCATAGATTCTGAACAGAAACCCATAACCAAGAATAGAAACGAAATACAACCTATATGTCTCTCTAACTTCAAGATACTCAAGAGAGACATTCAATATCATTTTAACTTGGCAGGTAAATTATTTTTTGTATGTTGTCTGTTGAAATCTTTCCCGACTCGTTGAGTACAGATTTTTACAAAATTAGTTTAAACATATCCATTTATTTTAAAATTTAATATCTGGTATTTTTTAAAAACAAATCAAATCTATGTTGATACAATTTATAACTTAACATAAGCTTTAAATGTTAAAAGTTTTCACGTTATTCAATTAAAAAAGCAATTTGAATCTTATAATAATGAACAGATTAACACCATATCAAAATACACCTCCAAAATTTAGTAACCTTTACACCTCCAGCTGTTCTCACGCATTAATATTAGGAACCTCGGGTATCAGACTTGCAAAAAATGTAGTAATAAAGGTCCAAGCGACCGTAAGCCTAGTTGGGGCCTGTTCCTCCTCGACTCCCACGCCATCTGGCGTAACATTTATATTGTTATTATTTAGGTGTATATTACGGAAGAAACCAGTCTGATACAAATACAGTGCTATGACAAGGAATAGCACGAAGACAAACCTAACAGGGCTGGAATAGAAGTATACCACACTGAAGAGCACCAGGGCTCTGCTGAGCGTGTAGAAAATGTCCAGCCAATCGCGTTCTTCGTTGTTTTCGACTGGATTGGGGTTGGCCGCGGGTATCGGGTTTGGTGGGGCACCTTGGGCGGCCCCTCTAGCCCCAGCATCTTGAGGCTGGTTGTTGTTTTGAGGCGCTGTTGTTGTAGGGGGTGTGTTGCTGGGTGTGGGTATTGTTGGTTGAGTTGTTATTGGTGTTTGGCCAGCCGCTCTGAAATAAAACAAAAATTATAATAATTTTGCTATACTCAATAACTTTGTTTTGGTTTGGTATAATGAACAAATTAACAACCTATACAGGTTGTTAATTTGTTCATTACTCACGGCAAGAGCTTTATGGTTGAAATATGGCAACCTCGACTCGCTCGTCGATAGACGACGCGACGGGACGAGTCGGCAAAAAAATCAATAATGCATGCGTTCTCAATAGGCAGTGTTGCCATTCTGTTCCCCTATAAGTAACTGTCGAGTTAATAACCTGTATAATATTCAATTCATAAAGTAACTAAAATAAAAGAGTGTTTGAAAGGTTGTCTAACTTGGCCATAATGTTGCATAGTTCAGTTAGGGCTTCCAATGACTAAAGAATATAAGGATATGTAACGCCCATATACGGGCTGCAGCAGAATTTGTGACCTTAGACGCCTTTTCTTTTGGTGGAAAACAATGAGTCATCAGCTCGTCACAGCACAGCGACAATTTTAGCAATTTTTAATAGTTTGTGTGTAGTGAACTTTGTATAAACTTTATTACAATGCTGATTAGTTATTGAGCTTTCAAATGTAAAAGCAGCAGCGACAAGAAAGAGCCAGGAGTTACGTTTCATATGTAAATAAACAGTCCGCTCCACCTTTTTAGCGTTTTCTTAAGTTCTGTTATTGAATTCGATAATTATTTTTCTGATATTATATGTACTTGATGTGTGCTATACGTCGATACTAGTTTTGTACCATTTGTTAACATTTTAATACGTTTTTTTCGTAATTAATTAGTGTGATCCCACCGCCTACATCATAGGCGTAGTCAAAACATTTATCAAAAATATAGATATCCCTTCAACTAGCTAAGTTAAGAAAAAAATATGGCCACTGCACTATTTGGTGCCATGGTTACAATTTCGTCCTATTGCTGCCAAAAGTCACTAACATTTTTCCGAACCTGAAAATTCAATCACTAACTGTATTTTGAAGCGGAGAATCGACTGAAAAAGTAATTAACTACGATTTCTGGCTATTTATATTTTATTTTAATACCGAATAGTTACTAACTATAATATTTTTATGCAATGCAGTTCATCCTTAGACGCGTTTTTCTCGGAAGTAATAAAAAGTAAGTTAGTGACTTTTGGCAGCAATGGGACGATTTGCTCTCGGGTGTTATTTGTCCTTCAATTTTTTAGTCATTGAGGGCTCCAAAGCGTCGCCACCTGCTACCTGTCATGTGTTATGACAAGATTGATAAGTGACATCACAGCAAATTATTTGTATTTTGCAATTGTTTACTATTTTGTTTTGAATTTTGGAATTTTGTTACTATTTTGTGTAGCATATACTTTGTTTGTTTGTTTGTTTTGTGTTTGTGCGTACAGAAATTATGGAGGAAGTTTTATTTCCCGAGGAACCAGAGACCTTATATTTCTCTATGATTTTAACTTTATGCACAGATAACAAGATAAGATTATGTTATCTGTGCTTTATGTTTTGTGCTATGAGTTTTGCCGTCATCAAGTAATATTTTGTACAGCCGATGATGTGATTTGAACATGATCCAGGAAATGGTATCATGCAAAGCAAGTTGGATATGTAAAGACATTGCCCATCTCTGAACTCCGTGAACGTAAAAAGAACTGACTATAAATTCGCGCCTTAATTTCACAGTGTTGAACACTTGCTACCTCAACTGAACTTCAACTGCTAAGTTTATAAATCCCACTTAAAGGTGAATTCATTTTTGATGACGTCTTATTTAAATCTTAATCTGTTATAATAGCATAGATTGCAAACCCTGCGATCTTATATGCTTTGTTAGTGGCGTTGTTAAATACGTTTTATAATACTATAGGCATTATAGGTTAATCAAGGGGTAAACCGCTGGTGTATTTTGGTGTACAAGATGTTGGCATTTTTGGCATTTTCGTGGCATTATTGGTATTAGTACTAAATTATTTGGCATTACTTTGGCATTAGTGTACAGAAATTCGTCAGCGGTTTACCTCTTGAGGTTAATTCAGCATATATGTTTTATATTATTAAATTTAATTTAGCATTTAACTGTAAGCATTTCAAAAGTGTACAATAGTTTATACTTTTCAAATATTCCGTTTTTAAAAATAAATTTTCATTATATTTTTTGCAGGTTTGATTTTCGTAATATTATTAAAAATACATAAAAATTTTATATTCACATTTAAACTGCCCGCCTTTTATTGTGGTAGGTAATGCAGATACCTATTTTACCGATTATGTCTGTCATATTTCCATTAGTTCAGTTAGGGCTCAAGGGTGCGCTACAATCGATCCTCGTTATATGTTTATGTTGCCTACTCTTGACTATGGAAATGACAACTCTTTTATTTTATATTTCTCTATGATTCAATATTAATATTTATTGTGTAATTTTCTGTTCACATAATTAGATGCAATATTACAATAAATCATTTATGAATCTGTCACATGCTTAATTTAGTAAACTCACATGCACAGAGTTATGATTTATTATTAACAAAAAGGCAATAACTGATTTTGATATACATATTATAAAAAAAATATTTGTTATACATACTTATTGCTCTTTAATTATATTATTATATTATCAACAAATCTACATTAGAAAACACAATGTTGAAGTGGTTTTAATGGTACTATAATAAATTTATCATTCAAGTACTACTTCAAACAAAAATTAATATTACATAAGATAAAATAAAAGACACGTATGTCCTATTTGCAAATTCTATAAGAATAAATTTGAAAAATAATTGCTAGTTCTACACATTGAAATTAAAAAATACCCAATATACTTTCCCAGACTAGCAATTACCATATTCAGTTAATTAAAAAGTGTTTTAATGACCTTGAATTTTAATTTCCTTCCCCACTAAAATAAAGTATTTTGTGCTGATAAAAATACATTTAATTTTGTTTAGTGCTGTAATATTTTTTAAAAATTAAATTATAAAAAAGAGACAAACAAAAAATATTTTTAATTCAAAATTTAACAAATAAAAGCCTAGAAACTATATCTAAATACCTACATCTATCAAAAAGATGTAATATAATAATAATGATTTTTTTAAAATAATTTATTAAGTTTAACTTGATATTCATAATTACACCAAAATATTACTTACAGTTGCATGTACTGTGACATATACTGCATATATGCTTGCTGCATCCAGGCCATTTGCATCTGATACTGGTTCAAATTACTATAATCAGCAGGCTGAAACTGACCATTAGGCATTGTCCACTGAAACCCACTATTTGGAAACGTTGGAGGAACTCTGCTCTCACTAGCATTTGTACTCTGTGATCTTTGAGATGTCTGTGTACTAGTTTCAGCTGAAACATTACCAGAGCCTGTCGAACTAGTATTAGAATTTGCCTGTCTGCTACCTCCACTATTAGTTTCTGCCACCGGAGTAGAAGGTTTAGGTTTGGTATTCATTTTGATGTGTTTTGGGGTACAGACTAAATGAACTGTATGGGTGTCTTGACCTTCGTACTGCCTAAGAATGTCTTTTAGTACTAAAGAATCATTGAGTAACTGTCCGGAATAGATAAGTTTTTGTTCATGGTGTGGCTGAAATGGAACAAATTAAAGATTAGATTATTCCCTTATCTCAAATAAGTATGTCTGACAATTGTTTGTTTGGAATAGAGGAACAAAAAAACGTCAAATTATTTAAAATGTCAATTCTTAATCTCTGACCCTAGCCCCAGAGTAATTAGTATAATTTAATAATTTCTTTTGTAATTGATGGGCTTGGCAAGTTTATGTAATAATAAAATCTCTCTGTTCTTTCCTGGTTTGCTTTATTACATTTGTAGGTAATAAGCCGATATTTAACAGAACATACTTACAGGTTTACTTGGGTAAACTTCCGATAAATGTTGTTTCAATTTATTAATAGTCCATGACGTTTCACAAGTAATTTTTTGGTCTTCGATTTGTTGGTTTGGGGCCTTCACTATTAAAGTGACCGGTAATGATTCCATAGTTTCTTCTAGTTTTTTAAATGGTGAGATAAGCATACACAAATTAATCTATTATTATTGAGAATTTTGCGCCGTTTTGTTGGATTGTTATTTGCCTTCTACAACTAAATATATTGATATATCATGGATATATCTAACTGACCTGACAATTCTGACATTTTTGACACATATTAAACGTCATTTACCAACATTGTATTTGGCGCAATCCGATTGGACCGCGTCATGCATCACCTTACAAATTGATAATTTTTTAAGACGTATCACCTGTGGTATCACCCATGTATCACTTGTATTATTATTTACATTGAACTAAAATAACCAAAAATAGGTGTGTATTATGTGTGTATATCTTGCTTGTTGACGTATAATATTTTGTTTATTCTAAAATTCAAATTCTAAATAATGTAAAATTTAAATATGTTAGGCAACTAAATATACGTCAAATTAATAATTTTCAAATAAAAATGAATACCAGGGTAATACTGGTAATACTAATAATAATAATTATTAATAATACAATGTTGAGGTCCTGTTCTGTCGGGCCAACATGTTGAGGGTCTTTTCGGGTGTGGAATTAATATATACACTGTTGTTTTTAATATAACTTAACTTTAATTATGATGCAATAATTACAATAGGGACCCACGAGGGAAACTGGAAAATTAGATGTGTGATTAGATGTGTCGAAGAGATTAAAAGGTAAAGAGAGTAAAGACATGGTAAAGACCACGTAAAGACTGCAAAGAGAGTTGAAGAGCAAAGAGTAAAGCGTAAAGTGAAAGAGAAATATTATATTAATTTACTACTAATACAAAACAAAGTAAAACACGGCTAATGTAATATCCTGTTTATTGAAGAACAGCCTGGTGTTATATAATTCTAAATTTGGAGAAAGCGTTAAATAAAACTACAAATTTCAGATATTTTTATGTTTTATTTGATAGAATTTGCTAATATAATAAACTATAAAAAGATGGCATTCAAATTATTGTCAAGCGTCTCTATAGTCATATTTTTAAAATTTAATAAAAGGATTTAATCTTTACGTGTTTAACCTTTGTTTAACAATCACAAAATTTATATAATTATATTCCTTGCCAGTAACCAATATCTAGTATCATAAACTAGAAAAATAAACTAACCTTATTATTAATAATCCCAGTAGTGTTCATATGTAGTGTTCAAAATTTAGTTAATTAAATAATGACGCCTATTTTATTAAGCATAGGCATAATAAATGATCTTTTAAGAAATCGAAAATACTCGTAGCATACATATATGCCACAAATTATATATGCGCTGACGGGCAGTTTGCAGCCGGAAGACTATTGACTGCATGTGAGCGCGGCTTCATAGGAATACATAGATTACAAACCAGCAATAGTCGGCCGACTGGAAAGTGCCTGTCAGCGTATTGGCTAAGTCTACGCGCTGACAGGCAATTTTTAATCGGCTGGCTAGTTGCAGGTTTAAATAGTCGATGAACGCGGCTCCATAAGAATACATTGGTTACAAACTTGCAAAAATAGTCGGCCGACTAAAAATTCTCTGTCAGCGCATAGCCTTATATTAGAGTTTTTTCATCTATTCCTCATTTTCTTTAGAACAAAGCGTTTATAATAGAATGCTCTATTTCTCCTCTATTGTTAGCGTTAATTAAAACTACTTAAAAAATATTTGACTCCTTTATTTGTACAATTTCTTTTACTCAATAGCCCTCAATACACCAGAAGATTTGGCCAGGGGATTTGGCCTGCGGACTTGGTCTGCGGATAAAAACTTTGTATTTGTATGGCGGACCAAGTCTGCGGATATGGTCTGCCAAATCCGCAGGCTGTCTGTTATATTAAAATTGGTCTAAAAAACGATCGAAGGATAAAGTCCGCGGACTTGTAACATTTTCTCTTTAAGCCAAAATACGGAAGTTTTTATTGTGATAAACATATTTATCTATATAAAAAATGTTATAAAACGTCGAATTTTGTCGAATTAAATGAGAATATTTAATCGGGCAAAGATCTAATCGGTAGGATAGAGCTTGATTTTCATGCGTTCGTTATCCGTTGATATGATGGTCCGACGGCGCGGCGCGGTGCTCTCTGTGGTGAGTGTGGTGATAACGTTTTCGTGCCACTTTTCATCAGTAAATTTATTACCCCAGCCCGTCAACGGAGAAAGATACCGTATGATCGAAAATAAACGGCGTCCAGTTGGCTGGGAAATGACTATCGATGACATTTCCCATATAAATTTACATATAAAATGACAGCGATTTTCATTTCATATCCATCGCTGACGCCGTTTTTTTTCGATCATAGAGGAGTACGATAACGGACGTTCTGACGCTTTTTTGATAAATTTAATCAGTGGCGTAACAACAGACTCACGGGCCCGTGTGCAAAAATTTTACCGGGCCCCCTATTACACCTACATATATTTCAGTACTTATACAGGGTGTCCCAGGCTGAAGGTGCATTAGAAGTTTCTAGAGAACCACAACATCTAGATCGGAGATTTTTTGCACATCATTGTTTTACAAGGAGATCTATCGATTAAAAATATTTTCAATATGGCGGCACTTCCGGAAATACCGGAAGTTGACAGCGGCATTCTTATTTTAAATGGGTGCCCCCATTTTTTATTACATACTTAAATTCTCTGTAAAATTCTATGAATATTTATGTTAAACACTCTATATCTAACATTAACCGTTCTTGAGAAAAAAAATATTTAAAATTTTTGGACGAAAAAAACTACCTGTCAAAAAAATTTGTATAGCCTAAAAGTCAAATTTAGTGATTACCACAACCACTGTGACATAAATAAAAAACATGTGGTTATCTATTTCAAAAACTAAATTGTTCAAATGTCATATAAAAATGGCGGTAGCTGTCATGGAATTGAGCAATTAAAAAATTATCATATATATTTTTTTCAAATGGAAACCCACTTTTTTTATTTCACTAATGAAAATGTTTTTCAGTTCGTTACTTTTTAACTATACATGTTCCTATACTTAAAATAAATCGTTTTTAAGTTATTTAAGATTTAATTTGAAAACGTATTTTCTTGATTTTATCTAGCTTCCTTTGACATTTAAGTGTCAAACAGTCAGACAATTTATTTCCATCTGTCAGAAAACGAATTATTTGAATTTCCTATATTATATACATATACTGCCTGCTTAAGAGTTTAAAAAGTGTATTTATAAAAATCTATCTCGTATTTTCGCTCTTTATTGCTATCTAATAGTTGATATTAATAATATTCCGTATGATCGAAAAAAAAACAGCGCAAAGTTGGCTCGGAAATGATGCTGCTTTTTGAACAAAGCGTCACAATATGACATGGCCAGCTCTATTGATTTACATCACTTGACGTTTAAAGTCACAGGCTACCGGCTAAAAAGATGAAAACTATGCGCTTTAAAACTAAATCTTAAATAACTTAAAAACGATTTATTTTAGGTATAGGAACATGTATAGTCAGAAACTAACGAATTGAAAACGCTTTTTACAAGTCAAATAAAAAAGTGGGTCTCCATTTGAAAAAAATGATTTATGATAATTTTTTCATCGCTCAATTCTATGACAGCTGGGGCCATTATTATATGACTTTCGAACAATTTAATTTTTGAAATAGATAGCCACATGTTTTCTCTTTACGGCACAGTGGCTGTGGCAATCACTGAATTTGATGTTTAGGCTATACACATATTTTTGACAGGCAGTTTTTTTCGTTCAAAAATGTTAAATTTTTTTTTTCTCAAAAATGGTTAATGTTAGGTATAGAGTGTTTAATATCAAAATTCATAAAATTTTACAGAGAATTTAAATATCTAATAAAAAATGGGGGCACCCATTTAAAATAAGAAAGTTGCTGTCAATTTCTTGTATTTCCGGAAGTGCCGCCATATTGAAAATATTTTTAATCGATAGATCTCGTTGTGAAACTATAATGTGCAAAAAATATCAGAGCTAGATGTTGTAGTTCTCTCGAAACTTCTAATGCACGCTCAGCCTGGGATACCCTGTATACTAATCTGAATAATATGCACTCATATTTTAGGTTAGGAATAACATTATCAAATTAACTTTTATATAGTATTATTTATTACTGCAACACAGAATATGTAACCCAAAACATATAAAATATCAAATAAATAAAAAAAAAATAAAAACAAAACAAAAAACAACAACAAAACTGACTAAATTAAAATAAACAATGTAAATATAGGAACATGAACATGAACATGTTAAAATTCTTTTTTATTTGCTAGGGCGAAAGTTGACACAATAATACCAATATCTATTGTACGAGCAACTTTATTTTCTATTGAAATAATTGCCAAAGCTGATAACCGTTTTTCGCCCATAGTATTCCTTAAATAATTTTTGACAAGCTTTAATTTGGAAAAAGATCTTTCAGCCGAGGCCACAGAAACAGGTATGGTGAGAAAAATATGACACGCTGTTAAAATCTCGCTGAAACTAGAAGACGATGAAAGGTTTTTAATTAAAATAAATTCAGTGAGTTCAAAAGATAGATAAGAACTTAGTTCGGGATCGCCCGATTCTGCTTGATTCGCGATAGATATGGAAATGCGGCCCGGGTCCCCCGAGGGCCCGGGCCCATGTGCTTCGCACACACGGCACATCGGTAGTTACGCCACTGAATTTAATCTAACCTTAATAAAAACAAATAGTACAAGAGCTAGTACCCTCGAGAAAACGAGAATTTTAAGAAAGCGGCTTCTTTAATATACAGGGTTTCTCACCGTAGTCGTTCGTTAGAAGTTTTTGAGGTTAGGAAAAACTTAGAAGTTTGAAATTTTGAGACTTTGGGTTATTTAAAATTTCCTTTCATTTAAAAATATTTTTAAGGCCATACCACTTCCGGTTACACCGGAAGTCGCCATTAACTTCTTTATTTTAAATGGAACACCCTGTATATTATTTTATTTTTGGATTTCTAAGGAAATTTTATGATTAGTTTCATTAGATTTCCCTATACCTATTTTCAACTGTTTCTCAGATGTCATGATTTATTTGAAAATTTTTACAGATTTACCCCTATTTTTAACAGTGGGTCTTTTACTTATTTTGAATTGGTGATAAATGCTTCTGCGGTAAACTGGAGCAGAGGACTAATACTTTCGAAGTCC